ATATGATTCTATACTTAGAAGACCCAAAAAACTCTACCAAGAAACTTCTAGAACTAGTAAATGAATTCAGCAAAGTGACAGGATATAAAATCAACACCCATAAATCAAAGGCATTTCTGTATATCAGCGACAAATCCTCTGAGAGGGAAATGAGGAAAACCCATTTACAATATCCTCAATAAAATAAAATAAAATAAAATACTTGGGAATCAACTTAACAAAAGAGGTGAAAGACCTATACAATGAAAACTATAGAACCCTAAAGAGAGAAATAGAAGAAGACCTTAGAAGATGGAAAGATCTACCTTGCTCATGGATAGGCAGAATTAATATTATTAAAATGACCATATTACCAAAAGCACTATACAGGTTCAATGCAATTCCAATCAAAATCCCAATGGCATTCCTCATAGAAATAGAAAAAGCAATCATGAAATTCATCTGTAAAAATAAGAGACCTAGAATAGCTAAAGCAATTCTAAGCAAGAAGAGTGAAACTGGTGGTAACACTATACCAGACCTTAAACTATACTACAGAGCAATAATAACAAAAACAGCATGGTACTGGCACTGAAACAGGCTGGTAGACCAATGGTACAGAATGGAGGACACAGACTAACCAAAAAAATTACAGCTACCTTATATTAGACAAAGGTGCCAAAAGCATGCACTAGAGAAAGGATAGCATCTTCAACAAATGGTGCTGGGAAAACTGGAAATGAAGATGAAATATGAAGATGAAATTGAATCCCTATGTCTCACCATGCACAAAAGTTAACTCAAAATGGATCAAGGATCTAGGAATTAACAGAGACTGTGCATCTAATAGAAGAAAAAGTAGGCCCTAATCTTCATTATGTGGGGCTAGCTCCCAACTTCCTTAATAAGACTCCTATAGTGCAAGAATTAAAACCAAGAATCAATAAATGGGATGGATTCAAACTAAAAAGTTTCTTCTCAGCAAGAGAAATATGTGAGGTGAACAGAGAGCCTACATCCTGGGAGCAAAGTTTTACCCCTCACACATCAGATAGAGCTCTAATCTCTAGGGTTTATAAAGAGTTCAACAAGATAAGCACCAAAAAAATAATAAATCAATCAACAAATGGGCCAAGGACCTGAACAGACACTTTTCAGAAGAGGATATACAATCAATCAACAAATATACAAAAAAATGCTCACCATCTCTAGCAATCAGAGAAATGCAAATTAAAACTACTCTAAGGTACCATCTCACTCCAGTCAGAATGGCAGCTATTATGAAGACAAACAACAATAAGTGTTGGCGAGGATGTGGGGGAAATGGTACACTCACACACTGCTGGTGGGACTGCAAATTGGTGCGGCCAATATGGAAAGCAGTATGGAGATTCCTTGGAAAACTGTGAATGGAACCACCATTTGACCCAGCTATCCCTCTCCTTGGACTATACCCAAAGGATCTAAAAACAGCATACTACAGGGACACATCACTGTTTATAGCAGCTCAATTCACAATAGCTAGACTGTGGAGCCAACCTTGAGGTCCTTCAATAGATGAAAAATGTAGCATTTATACACAATTGAATATTACTCAGCACTAAAAAATATCATGGCATTTTAGGGAAATGGGTAACATTAGAGCAGATTATGCTAAGTTAGAAAATCCCAAAAAAACAAATGATGAATGTCTTCTCTGATATAAGGGGGTGATTCAAATGGGGGTAGGGAGGAAAAACTTGAGGAAACTGTGCAGCAACCCTCTCCAAGCACACGGAGCACAAGGGCATCACTGTAGGGGGGCGGGCATGGTTCAGGCTCGGCACATGCAGAACAGAAGTGCAGGTGAGCTCTCAGTAGAACCTTGAAGAGAAGGTCTCCCACCCTCCTCCAGGACTTCCAGAAGGTTCTACCAGGTGAATGGGGCCTACAGCAGCTCACGCTGTCTCCGGGCACTACTGATAAACTAAGTCAACCTTAATTTTTGAGTTTTAGAGGGACACAGTGCCTTTATTTTATTTTTGGGTGGTGCTGAGGATGGTGCTAAATGCCCCACACTGCTAGGCAAGCGCTCCCCCTGAGCCACACCCCAGCCCCTAAGTTAACCTTGAGCATGTAGGGCCGTGACTCCTGCAGCACTGACGTCTGTAGGGTAGAACACAGGGGTCTGCAGGCACAGGGGGACCATGAACAAGAACGGCTCACAGCGCCACCACTTGGGCCGAAAGGCTGAGGAGAGATGAGTCCCGTTGCTGTTTTTAAGTGGCATGAAGATTCGACCTAGGCCACCCCTGGGTCACAGGGGCTGTCCTTGTAAGAGTGCACTGATGGGCAGGTGTCCTCTCACGCCCGCGTGCTGGCTTCCAGGTGCACTTCCTCCGGGCCCTGGAGGAGCCTGACTGCACATCAAGGGTGGCCGCTCCAGCCTCCACGGGTCTCTGCTCCTGCCCTGGCTTCTCCCTTCTGCTGTTCCCTCTGCTGCCCTCTCCATCCCCCTGTAGGCTCCCTCAGCAGGTTGTGTGTGTCTAGGACTGTGCTGACACAGGGCTCCTGGGCACCCCACGTGCCTCACTCACCACCTCGGGGCTCCACTGGACACCCAGAGCTCCCGCCAGCACCACAGCGCCACTGAATGGCCACGCCCAGAATTTAGGCCCCTGAGAGCTGGTGCTGGGGAATGCTGCCCAGAGACTGCCCTCCACAGACCTTATGCACCAGGCTCCAGGGCAGCTCCTAGTCTCTGCCACCAGTGGGAGCAGCAGCCTGGCACGTGCGTCCTGGGATGCCATCATCTGCTTTATCTGAGAGCCGCAGGCCACACAGCCTGACCCTCCCGCAGGTCTGACTCCTTCCTTATAAACATGGATCATGGGGTCGTCCATGTCCTTGCTTCTCTTGAAACAAACGGTTGGTCAATACTAGGAGTGGTGGTGAGTCAGAGCCCAGTGTGCCACCTCTGTGGTGGGACTCCCATGCAGCGTCCATGTCTCACCAAGAGCACACACTGGAGGACCCCCAGCAGGGCCCCGCAGGCAGTCTGCAGGGGGGAGCCACTGCCTCTGCAGACAGAGCCACCTCCTGCTTTCCGCCAACCTGAGGAGGACAGGCTTTGCAGGTCCCTGAGCCTGGAACCTTCTGACACACGCAAGTCACTCTCTGCCAATGCACCGTCCTGGTGACAGTTTTCTTCTATTATGTGAAGAAAGAAAAATGTCAAACTTCATTGCCCCGAGGGGCAGCTCCAGGTCCTCCTGTGCACCTCGCTGAGGCAGAGCTTAAGTAAAAACACCAACCCTGGCAGTTCTTCCAAGGCCGTGAAGACAGCCGTGAGACCCAGCTGCCTCGTAGGCCAGCCCAGGGTGTTCTACTCTTGCATCAGTGAGAATGAAAAGCCGATAGAAACCTGTGAGCACACTTCCTTCCATTCAGTTCCAGGAAAAGCAAAACAAATAAAAGCAACTTGTTTGTCTGAGCTACATGAGCATTTGAAATCACTTCTACTACCTGCACGTGGCCATTAGAGCACAGGGTGGCAAAGTAGGCAAAATACTCTACAGCTACTCATGTAGAGAGAGGGAAGGCGAAAACTTTGTTATCCTAGTTATGGAAATACCCCAGTGTCTGGAAATACCTCTTAAGTTTCCTGCACCAAAGGCTGACAAGGCCCGTAACCCTGGTCTAAAACGGGGTATGGGGCGAATATGGAATACTCTGCTCTTCAATGCTTGGGAGTTTTCTGAACTCAGATGATCGCAATGTGTACACAGATCATTTCCCCAGAAGAAGTGCTACCTTACAGGAATGTGCAACGGAGGGAAGTGGGGCATTTTCTGGTGCTTCAATTTTAAAGAATAGTACAGTGAAATGAACTCTAGATCCACGTATATATACATGAAAAATACCCAGTACCTTTGTATCAGGTTTGAAATTGATCTTTAAGTTGTTAGCCATTGATTTTCTTGCCGTGGGATATGAGCATAGTAGGATTCCTTTTTATCAAAAGCATGCCCAGCTGTATATTGAGCTGAGTATCTTGGGTGCACTCATGTGGGAGGGTAAGGCAGAGGAGCATGCATGACAGGGGATTCGTTCAGGTGTGCTGGATAAGGGCAGACAGAGATTTGCAAAGGAAAGGGGAGGTGAGAGAGAGAAAGAAGATTAAAAGGCAGAAGGATCAACATCCATGGATTTAGAAAATTATATATGGACATAGGTAAATTATATAGTAGCAATGACATTAGATTTATCTCACTTATTTTTAGGTAAATTGCAATCACTGTGGCTCCTTCAGGCCCATGGTCCCCCCACTCCTGTCCCACGTGGGCGAGGAGCGTGGAGCCCGTCCAGAGAACCCCTGCTTGGGTTTTATATTCAGTACTGTTGAAATTGCGTCCTCAGGGAACACCCACCCCTCAACTAGATTCCAGAGGATGTTTATGTAAATGTGACCCCAAATAATATCATGAGTGGATCTCATAATTTCAGAAGCTAAAATCAAGAGCAGATTTTTAACTAGAGGAAACAGAAGCAGAAGGAAGCCTTTCTGCCTGGAAGTCCTGTTAGCATTGCAGAAACACTCGGCCACCGGTGGGCAGGTGGCAGGGCCAGGCGGGACTCCCCCCTGCCCCTTCGTCACAGGCTCGGTACCCAGTGAGATGCTCCGGCATGTCCGAACAGAGACACACGTGCCACACAGGCCCTAGAAACAGGGGCCCTGTCCACTCAGGGCCTGGGTGGGCAGTTTTACCGTGATGTCCTGGAATGCTTCAGGCCAAAGGTACCTTCCTAATGATAAAAGCGTATCATTGTCCTCTGCAGTGAGGTGACAACACACGGAGGTACTTCATCATTGTACCTCGGAATGGACAACCCGTAAGTATTTGGGGGAGTGTGAGGAGAACACCCCAAGTGCTCCGTAGAGACTGGGGAGGAGGCTTGGCGGAGCCGACAGGTCACCCCAGCGGCTGCTCCTCTGAACGTTGAAGACAGAACCTGCCCGGGGGCCCAGGAAGGCCACTTACTCTCGTAGTGGATGAGGAAGCCCACGCTGGAGCGGCTGCTGTCGGTGGTGAAGAGCAGGTACAGGAAGCTCCCCGTGCTGACGAGGAACTGGGGGGCCTGGGTGCCGTGGTATTCTCCAATCAGGGGGGAAGAGCTGGTGGGCCCGTCCCTGACTTCCAGAGTGTCGTAATTGACTTCCGTCTGGAACCTGTGGACGTGCATCATGTCAGGAAAGACGTTCAGGTCCCGTACTTACAGACCTCTCCTACCACCCTCATCCGTTAATTAAAACCCCACACATACCAACGTGAATAAAATATTCAAAATCACATGTGTACACGTATTTATCTGTACATTTATGTGTACACACACACACACACACTCACGTAGGAATGAGTGTGTTTTTCTGGAAGAAACAGGACACTCTCCCCGCCCCCATCTTACATAACACTCTACCTTGTAACATGACAGATAAAAATTAAGGTCATTATTCAGCTCTGATTCAAAACCCCCATGAGAGAAATGTCAGGTGAATAGACAGATAATTGTCAATACTTTTGCATTTTAAAAGTGTTTTTCACAATTCCCTGTTTGACACCATCACAGACACCTTGGAACACTCAAGTGAAATGATCTCCTAGAGGAAGAAGGGACTCAAAGTACACAGCCACATTAAGTGCCTTTCCTGGACCGGATCCTGTGCTTTTTAAGTGGCATTAACAGGAAGCTGGACTAAAGCTGAACTACTTCTCAAACTCAAAAGATAACTTTAGTGATTTGAAAGAGCTTCCCACAAATGCTTCACTTCCTTGTGCTTCCAGGGAGTCTGGCTGCAGTTCCATTTATATAAAGTCGCAGCCACTTGGGTCCCCTTAGACGTGACGCTGGTGCCATTCCAGGCACGGAGGTAATTTTCTAAATGGCCCGTCTAGTCCTCCAAGAGCTAACCTGCTTTCCAAGTGTCTGGTTTTGCTCTCAGGGAGCAGCTGAGGCGTCATAAGCCTCTGACTCACTCGGTAACGGGAGCCAGAGTCCTCGGAAGCCTGTGCCACTGTTCCCCACTGGGATTGTCCATGAACAGGAAATCAAGGGGAGACACGAAGCTACCTTGGTGGCGCGGCACACATCAGCCAAAATGGCACGGAGCCGAAGGTTCTGCCCTGGTTATCATGAAGCAGTGCAGACTTCTCTCAGTGAAAATGCACCCTGATCCATCTTCTCCGCAGCCAGCGAGGAGGGTGCCCTGGAACCTGCCCTTCCACAGGAAGGAACCAGAGGACCCTGCCTCACACGGCCAGACCAGAATAGACTCACAGGCTGGAGCGTTGGGGAGCAGGCGGTGCCAACTTTGTCTTTCAATCTAAAGGTTATGATTCCTCGGATGTTTGAGCTCAAATTCCAGGAATCTGGATAAGAGGGGAAGCCATCGCTTCTGGGGGTTTCACACACTCGTTTTTATGTCCTCCCGGTCTTCCCAAGAGCCAGGACTGCTGTGTGACTTCTAGAGTCACCTCAGAGCAGAGACCCCTAAGCAGTCTCATGGCCCAGCAACCTGACTCACATTGCATAACAAAGTCACCCTCATGGAACCGCAAAGCACATGGACAAACTTGCCTCCCCCAAGGGGACTCCACTGGCCAATGAGCAAGTCCACACGCACTCTGTGGCTCCTCCTTAAGGAGCCGGGCAGTGCATCTCCGGTGACCGCCACTGATGTTCCAAATATCAGAAACGTGAGGTGCTTACACGGGGAGGCTGGCAAAATACCACACTGAAATAACACTGAGTAGGTCCCCCTGGGGAAATCGGAAAGGCCTCCCGCGTCAGGAGCGCAAATCACTGTCTTTACCAAATGATTTAGGTTTGGCCTTCTGCTTTAGCAACCCTATCGAAAAGTGTAAGCATTTATAGGAAGCCCAGTTTAATTTACTGAATATATATTGAGATACTGCTTTTCAAATGATTAATGTTATTTGCAGGAATCTACTCTCAAAATAGATGAATCAAATTTTTCCCTATTTCTAAGGAAAAATCTACTGAATGTTATCATCCAACCTAAATAGTGGAAACAACAATTTTGAATAAAAATAATTACTAAAGATGGCAACTACAATAAATATTCCCTATGTTGATATCAAATTCTTAGAAAATTACTGGGAAAACAAAACAGGAAATAACCTCATGAAGTCGAGATACTAGAATATTCTGGAGGCAAAAACTCTGAATGCAATCTAGTCAATAAGGTCGTACAAGATAAGTGCGATGCCATTCAGAGGTGTGAGGTCAGAACTTTACAACAGTCCTTCCCTGCATTTCAAAGCCTATGGCTTGTTTCAAACCAGTTTAATTTTTAATCATCCAATCAATTTCAATGCTGAGTGACACGGGAAAACACCTTATCTCACAGAGCCTGAATGGCATGCTTACTTTTGCAGATTATCAAATCCATACTCAAGGAGCAAAGCCACCCTGTTCTCCAGTGGCAGCGATGCCTTGGGCAATTGATGGACATCTCATCTGCTGCATTTGCCCCAAGGTTCACTCTGGACATTCGACAGTCTCCAGTTACTGACAGCTGACATCAGAACTGGAGAGGCCTTTTCTGTGCTGCCCCAGAGGGAAGAGAAGGCACCAGAGGGACAGGGGGCTGTGTCCTGTGCCACCAAGAACCTGGCAGAACTCACTCCACTGCAGGCACCAGCTTCAGGACAGGCTCCAGGGTCAGCTGGGAGGAAGCCACCCAGGATGGACTCCAGGGTCAGCCCCAGTGGGGGAACAGTCACCCAGGAAGCTTCTCTGTCCACAGCTAACTTGGGTTGGGAGGACAATGCTCGGGAAGAACAGAACTGAAGGAGTAGTGCCTAATCCTGTTGGGTCAGCCCCTTTGGAGGACCAAAGAACTATCACCTTGAAAGTTTTAAGATCCACTAACTTAAAACATGGAACAGATAAGGGTCCCAGGACCAGATGAAGGACAAGGCTCATCTTACCTGTCAAAAGTTATTTTGATAGAATGTCCTGGTTTTGCTTCAATGATCCATTCACAATTCAAAGAGTCTTTATAATATCCTGGCCATCCAGGAGGCAAAATGACCCCACTTGAGGCTGTCAGATGTCCACCGCACGGGGCTAAAGGAAGATGCACACGGTCAGATTCAAGTAAATGTGGGAGGTCATGCCATAGTCACATTGCCACCAAAATAGGGGCTGCTTTCCGGGCATGGATTCAGTATTTCCAAGTATTAAGGCACACCTGTTGCTAATAAGGCCCTAAGTTGATTGAAACTGAGGTCTGTGCCTTGTACGGCTGGTTATCTGCCCTCACAACTAGTCAGAGTGCTCCTCCTTAGATGATCTACATGGGAGCGACCTGTCTGGTCCTCAGGAATCTCCTGGCACATGCCACTCGTAGCCATCTTACATGCATTAGGAATTCAATAAGCATTTACGGAAGATGAAATTTTAAATGGCCTTAAATCTAATGATGAAAAACCCCAAGACATGTGAGCTAGTGTGTTCGTATGTATATACGTCGGGTTGTGTTTGTTTTGTTAAAATTACTTGCCACGTAGGATATTAAGTTGTTGGTGCATGTTAAAAACAAAAGTGTGAACTGTACAAGCTCAGGGTTAGGCTGGGCGTATCCTGAAGCAGCGAGTGGCAGACAATAGTTTATAGTCACAAAAGAAAAAGGGAGGGTTAAGAAGTGTGTCCCAGGCTGTGTGAATTCCCTGTCACCCGCAAGAGTCCTCAGAAAACAGTGTCCCCTGGGTTAACACTGCAGGGAAGAACACACTTCCACCTGGCCACACCGCCTTCCATGTTTTGCATACTCTTTACTGCTCATCTCCCCTGTGAACTCAGAGGCAGCAGGTATGTGAAAACGTGTAGTTTAAAACATGCGTCTCCTTTTTGGCGTGTGATTCCTTTGGTGAAAAATGACCACATAGATGAAGTGCTGAGAATGTCTTTCCCTTTCATCCAGATTTTGAGGCCCCAGTGAACTCCGCCAGGATAAACAAGGCGCTTTTCAACAAACCTGGCTTCGCTGCGGGGCTGGCATTGCTTATGTGCGCTGAGTTATTCCTCTAAGGACAGTTTCCCTGAGGCTTCCAACCGTGTCTTCTCTCCTGGTCCCCTCTGCAGAATCTCAGGTCTCTGAGTTTATCTATTCTAATGCCTTCCTTTCTGTATCTTTCACTCTGGGCACCGAGCTCCGTGCTGCAGGCCGTGAGCCCTGTGTGCCCCGTGGTGTGGCTCTGCTGCCCCACTTTGCTGTAGTGGAAGGTTTCTCCCCCAGGATTTCCAGGCAGTGTGGAATCTGAACCCTGAATTTCTATTTAATACACAGCTGTTGATTCAGAGAGGACTCTGGATGCTAGGTGTGTGCTTGGGGTTCTGTTTTGATTATAGAACCTCAACTGGGGCATTGTTAGTGAAGCGGTCTGCATTTGTTTTAATTTGTGAGGGTTCATCCTTGGCCAATCATTTAATTGATTTCTACAAAGGAGGCTGGAGGGGAACGGGACCCCGAGTGTGCTGTTGGGGACCTGAGGGTCGTGCACACCTCTTCAGTCCAGTTGGTGGCTGTTCCTCGCGGCCCTTGCACTCTCTGCACTCGACCTGCTTGCTGTGGAAGCTGGTGGCTTCTGAGCAGCAGGCTCCTGGTGGGGACCTGGGTGGCCATGCTGCCAGAGCACACCTTCCTGCCTTCCCTGAGACCCTGCCGGGCCCAGGGAGTGGGTCTGGGGTGGGGGGGACTTTCAGATCTCCCACCAAGACTCTTCCTTTCTCTGTTTTCCGACTGAAGCTGGAGTTTTCACTTAGCTTCACCTGGCGGGGCTCCTCCTGGTAATGGAGCTCTGCTCAGGGTCGATGTGCTGCCTCCCCTTATCTCAGGTCCTGCTACTCCCTGTGCTTACAGGGCCCTGTCCACCAGTGTGCCGAGAACAGGCCCCGCCTGCAGCTGGTGACGCCTCTACCCACAGCACACTGTGGGTGACTGGCACAGACAGCCAGCGTGGTGGACGAGGCAAGAGCCTGTTCTCTGCAAAGTCTTGCTCATGAACTCAGTCATGCCTCACAGCCAGCCGTGGTCTACACAGCTACAGCAGTGTTCAGACAGGATTAGCTGCGGCACCTTTCCTGTGACCTGTGTGAACACGCCACGTGTGCACATCCACTTAATTATAAAGGCTCCAAAACCACCATCTGTTAACATTTTATAAACATAACGTGTAAAATTATATGTTAAAATGAATTGTTAAGATAGATTTAAAAATAAAAGTGCGCTGTTGCTTCCTTGCCCTCCACTGTACCACCAGGGCGGTGCCGAGCCCCTGAATTCTTCTAACAGTTGAGGAAAGGAAGGAGGGCATCTTCCCAACTGCTGCAGAGCCACTCGCAGGCCACCACAGGGCCCAGCTGGAGTGTCTCCTGACGGTGGCAAGCCACCCAGCGCATTGCTCAGGCTGGACAGGGGGTGGCCCTGGCTGGGCTCTGAGAGTTCAGTCTCCCCACGGCTGGAATCGGCTCTGACCCCTTGGAGGTGAGACTCGGGAAGTTTCCCTCCAGCAGTGCAGGAGGAGAGCCGCCCTCGGCTGCCTATTCATTTCCTAGTTACGTATTAAAAAGAAACAGGTTGACCTCAGCAACTGAGGGAATGACCCAAGAGGAAGACACCTTCCAGCCACCATTAACGAACGCGTGAGCGCCCAGCGCCTCCGGCTCCCTCTCCTGAGACGCTGGCACGTGCCTGTGTTTCCAAAACCCTGTGAACTCATGTGCTCATGCCCCTGGTCTTTCCCATGACAGCAACTCAGGATCTGTCTGGCCCGTCACCTTGGTTAATGATGCTCGACCCCTGGTCTAGGTACACGTCTCTGTCCACTTAGCCGGCTCCCTGCTGTTGGACATTTAGTTGTTTCCAACTTGTCACTGTTTAGAAAAGTTCTGCAAAAAGCACTCGTCAGCAAATATTTTATCGTATGTGCTCAACTACTTTATGATCCTAATCCTAAAATATAAGCTACGGGCCAAAAGGCAAGAAAGATGCAAAGACTCAATATGAATTCACACCGTGAAGGTGCAGTTTAACCTCCTCAGTGCAGAGCCAAGAAAAGCCAGCCTCCCCCACTTACCACAGTTCACCTCTTTAACTCATTGAAAATCTGGGCAATGCTGGAGAGCAAAGGGGCATGCTACTTTTGTTTTTACGTGTGCATTTCTTAGGGATCCAGCAGAGATGATTTCAAGGTTCCTGAGTTCATTGTGTAAGACAGGGAGGATGGGTCAGGGGCCTGAGGCAAACGTTTTGAAACGATCAATAATGAAGGGCCATGAGGTCCTGCTCCTGACATTTTTTCCTCGGGCCGTATGACAGGTAAGTAGACCAGAAGTATCAAGAAGAAAAGTAGGTATCATTCAGATGAGCTTTGATAAAGAAAGAAATCATTGATTAAAACCACAGTGTGGTCACGGGTTGATTTCAGGCCCCAGATCCTCAGTCCCACCCTCCCACCACTCACTGAGGGTGTGTGGGCTCAGGAGCACGTAGGTGCCATCAGTGAAGGCAGACGGGGCGTCATGGGAGAGAGGACCCTCCCCCAGTACAACAGGGGGCACGGACACAGTCCGATGCACACCCAGGAGAGCTCCTCTTGAGCATGTGGCCGAGGTCACGTGACGTGCCGAGGCCCAGGAGCCCGGGAGCTGGGGCTTCCTGGACACACCCTCCCTGGCACACTCCAGAGGACACCACCCAGCCAGAGCCTGGTTCCGGGGAGTGAGGCCACACTTCCTGTGCTTCAGTCCCTCCGGGCTCTCTGTTCTGGCATCTAGGAAACTGGAACCCGGCCTGTGTGAAGGGAGAGGCCAGGAGGCTGGGGACGGGCCCACCTTCACAGCGAGGGACGGTGGCACTCCAGACCACGTTCCCGTCCTGCAGGATGCAGGTGATGGCCTCGGACCCCTGCGTCTTGACAAAGCCCTCGTCACAGTGGAAGGAAACGGAGCTCCCGAGCAGAAACCTGTCGCCAAAACGCCTGCCGTTGACGGGGGTGCCGGGGTCATGGCACTCATTCTGACCGAAGGCTGGCGGAGGAGAGAGAAGAGAAGCAGGACCAAGTGTTTGGATTCCAGTTACGTGTATCAAGAAACAAGGAAACAGAGCCCATTTATAAGGCCACTGCTTCCCCAAATTTCAGTTATACCACCCACAGATGAGTAAATACACTGAACAAGCGGGATATTGGGATCTGTAAGCAGAGCACCGATGGATGAATAGACCTGTCACCTCTGCCGCACTTGGGCTGGAAGCACACTTCCTGTGCACTGAGAAGAGAGACCAGGGACACGGTGGTGGGGGCAGAACTGAGGCTCAGGGCACATCTGCTCCAGGTAGGGGTCAGCCCGAGGCCTAGCTTCCGCCCCTCGGCAGATGCCCTGATGATGGAAGTGAGGGACTCTGACCCTATATCCCAGAGTTACTGTGGAACGACATCATTACCGGGAATTCTACACACCGTACCTAAGCAGCAGCCAGAGGCAGATTAGTGTTGCTCATATTTACTGTTTCGTTTTAGTCTTTCTAGAAACCATTTAAGGAGTCGTTCTTCTATAAGATTTGTTTTGCAGATGAGGGGTCTGAGCCATAGAGAAATTAGCTGTCTTGTTAAAATCCACTACATATCTCCAAGGGCCGGTGTGCTGACCCTGGCTCCTGACCACCAACGCCGTCACCCTGGTTGTCACACTCTGTTGTTACAAGGAGGATGCATGGATGGGTGGAAGGAAGGAAGATGGAGGCCGGGAAAATTGGAAAGAGGGCCAGGATATGAGATCCAGCACCCTGCGATGGGGTGACCCAGAGACTGATCTAAATATCAGAACAGCGTTATGTCATTTTGCTACTCTTAGTGCCTTGATAATGATCACATAGCTTCAGAGACCTTCAGTGTGTGTGATCAAAACGTGGCCAGGAGCTCACTTACTGGTGTACGTGATGTTGAACCCTCTGCCGGTGGTGGAATGGTCCGACTGGAATTCCAGGCGCACTATGTGCCCACTGCTGGCCAGCTGAGCGGGCACCTCATTGCCAGAGAAAGTACCAAGGACAGTTATATCAGAAATCCCATCATCTTTGACTGCCAGAAAGTCAAACTGAGGCTCCACGTCAAAATCATTGAAGATGAGGTGGATTCTGCTTCCCGGCTCAGATATAATCAGCCAAACACAGTTCATGTTGTTGCCATATTCCTCTGGGTAATTTGGGGAAAGGATGATCCCGGATGATGCCGTGAAGTTGAAGAAACATGAAACTGCGGAGACAGGAATATATTTTCAAACAGTGTGGCATGACCCAAGAACTGCCCTTGGCCCACCCCTGCAGGTGGCCACAATGGCTGGCTGCGGTGAGACCAGTTGTCCTGGAGCACAGCGTTTCTCTTTCCCAAACAACCTGTCTCGTTACCTTACACAGCACAGCCAGGGACTTTGCCTAATTCCGCAGAGGCTCTAAAATAAACATGATCCCACTGAGTTGGTTAGAAATGTGTGCTAGATATTGTGATTTCTAATTCAGACTTTCTGCCTCCAGAGGAACAGCATTAGTCATAGGTGCCAGAGGAGCAATTGGGTCTGCTCTTCTGTGATAACTTTTTACTTATTTATTTTCTTTTAAGGTGCATTTTTTTCCAGTTGTTTATCTAATTCTTTTGTTGGTTGTGGGCAAAGATTAACAATAAGTAATGAGAAAATCAAACTGTGCTGTCGTTGGGCAACATGGAACTCCTCTGGATACCTGAAGAACGTGTGCTTCACACAAATCTGAGCCCCTGTTTCTGTTTGGGTGGCAGAGGCTGCCATAAGCCTTGCTTTTCTCCACATGATTCCACACACACTTCCAGCCATGGCCATGTTCACTTGTCAATTAAGTCAACCTTCTAAGTGGCTGTGAGGCCCCTGCTGCTGCTTCCACGCTGTGCACACAGGAAGAGGGCCGAGCCTCCTGTAGCACCATGCTCCCAACAGCCACCCACTAGTGCCCAAGGCTGCACAACATACTACTGTGGTTTGGGTCTGAAATGTCCCAACAGGCTCAGGTGCTGAAGGTGTGGTCCCCAGCTGGTGGCACAGTGGAGGTGGGACCTCGTTTTGGAGGAGGTGGGTTCTGGACTCATGACGGGGAGGATTTATTTTGTCTCTGGGTCCCTCCTCTCTTTCTCTCTCTCTGCCTCCTGGCTGTCATGAGATGGATACCYTTCACCACCACCGCCTCCCACCACCACAATGTCAAACCTTGCCTCCACAGTAATGAAGCCAGCTAACCTTGGACTAAAACCTCTGAAACTGTCTTTCCTCCCTAAGTTGATTGTCTCAGGTGTTTTGTCACAGCCTTGAAAAGTTGGCTACCACAATCACTAGGTCATAGAGTCTCCATTGCTGCCACTCAGCCTGACTTGGCACCTATCAGGGGCTCTCGAGGGCAACAGTAGTATGTTCGATCCCTTGGGGTAGAAAGAGCTCAGTTGCACTTCTTCTGGCAGCAGAYCTTGTTTTAACAGGGACAGCAGAAAGCTGGTGTCTGGGAACACCCCTTGGGCAKCTGCCTCCCCAGGGTCTCTCCTCCYGTGCTCTGCCCTGGGCCCTTGCAGGACAGGAACTCACACACACAGCTGGGCTTGTTGCCTGACCACTGGTTGTTCTGCTGGCAGGTGATGACCCTCTCGCCCACCAGCTCGAAGGCCGCCTGGCATTCAAAGGTGAGCGTGTCTCCGTGCAGAAAGCTGCTGCCCACCCGCTTCCCGTAGGCGGGGATGCCAGGGTCGCCACAGCCGCCCTTTTCAATTTCTGAAAGTGGGAGAAACAGACAGACCATTAACATTACACAACAAACACYGTGAACTCCCAAGTGCAGGCTTCTATTTGCTCATCTAAACTTCATTTTCATAAATGATTTCAGAAAGACACGCAATTCATCCAACAATCGCAGAACACGAAGAAGTTGCAAGTTGCCTGGGACAGGAAGGTAGGAAAGTGACTGTCCTTCCTATAAGACACCCAGGCCACACAGATGTGCTGAAATTAATAGGTGCATCTTGGGGGCACCTCCAGCCTCCGTCTGCACTAGAACGTGACCACTCATGTGGGCCTCATCCTCAGGCTTTTCACTATTAACACTGCAAACACGAGTGCTCTTCCCTTCCTGAATATTCAGATCAATGTGATCWATTTGACACTTTTCCTGAAATGGACGTCAGAATTCATTTGTGAAGCAGGAAGAGTAAATTTATGGTCTTCAGATAACAAAGTGCACAGAATGAAACCGCTTTTCATCAACACACAGCTGCCATGGAACATGGGCCACGTTTCACACCCTGGCCAGGACCTCGGACACGCTGGCCAAGACCTGGGACACGCTGGCCAAGACGTGCGCCTTACTCAGTCCCGCCACAGTGCTTTTGAGAGCCAGCTGCGTGTCAGGTCCTCTGCTAGGTGACGGGGTGGTGGGTGAGCAGGACGGCCCTTGCTCTCACCAGGGCCATCAAGAATTAAACAGAGCATGCGGTGCTGACCAGGTTCCCTCCTGAAGGAGCCCAGAGGGCTGGGCAGGGGGGAGACAGAGGAAGCGCAGATGCCCTGAGGGAGAGGCCAGGCCCCCTGGAGGGGCTTCCTGGGCAGCTCCCTGCCTGTGCTAAGTGATGTGGGCCAGGGTGGCAGGTAGGCCACCCTGTGGGGAGGTTCGAGCAGAGGCAGGACAGGACTGAGTCCCCCCAGAGCCAGCATGTCCCCAGGAGAGCCATACTCCAGGAGAACGCCATCCATCGGGGTCTCTGTTTTAATCCTTTTTTAGGTGTTTAGATCTATTTACTTATTTATCCATCACCTCATTCATTCATTCATATGAGCATTTGTTTGATTATCTATTGATTTTTCTCAAATTCTGCAAGGGCTTAGAGAAGCCAGCAGCAAATTCAAATTTCTGCTTTATTAGCAATGGCCACCGTTTGTCCTTCCAGACGCACGATGAACTGTGACCCCCAACATAATGGTGTTGAGAGGCAGTGGGACACTTAAGAGCTGGCGAGGACATTTTGCGTGGGACTGGTGTGGTCATGGCCAGACTGGACCAGAGACCCGTGAGTGGCTGTCTGTGTCAAGGCCTCCCTCCGTGGTGTCACATGTGACRTGCCCTCTGGCCCCTCCCTTCTGCTGTGTCACACTGCTGCCTTGGCTGTCTCCCCCAAACCTCGGGCCTTTTTGTTGTTGTTGTTTTATCTCTGATGCCCAGCCCACAATTTCTTCTTCTTCTTCTTTTGGTACCAGGCACTGAACTCGGGGGCACCCGGCCACTGAGCCCCATCCCTAGCCCTATTTCATATTTTATTTAGAGACAGGGTCTCACTGAGTTGCTTAGCGCCTCACCGTTGCTGAGGCTGRCTTGGGTCTTCCTCTCTCAGCCTCTCAAGCCGCTGGGAGTACAGGCGTGTGCCACCGTGCCCAGCCACAATTTCTTCTAATAATGAAATRAACTGTGGCAGTTTTTGCTGAYGTCATTTACTCTCTTAAGTGCAGGAACTCCAAAGAGCTTTCAGAAATAACAGGCTGTGTTTGACAACCATGCGGCTGCAGAGGAGGGCCTCTCTGCGTCTCTTGCTGACCTTGCATTTAGCTACTTGCCACCAAAGGTGCCCTGCTCCTCACCCTGAATCCTGGCACAGACCGGCATCTGCCAGGCACACCCAGGCCAGCCACTGCCACACGGTACAGGCAGAGGGCCCTGGGTGGAGGTTCCACGTAGCTTGTGCCTTCAGTCACACACGAGTGAGAGGATCCCATGTCTGTGCCTGTGACGCTTYGTTTGGGAGGGGTTGTTGGGACAGCTTTCCTTATACACAAAGTGCTACTATTGTCCCAAACAGTGATGACAAAATATACAGATTTCAAAATTTCCCCTGAGGGTGGTATGGCCCYCAGGTTAGAACCTCTGACACCACTTCAGGGTTTTCTTGTTGTTGTTTTGTTTTGTTTCGTATTAGGGATGAAATCCACGGTGCTCTACCAAGCTACATCTCCAGACCTGTTCTGTTTCATTTTGAGAGAGGGTCTCACTATATTGCCCTTGGTGGCCTGGAAATTGGGATCCTTTTGARTAGCTGGGATTACGGGATAAATTTTATGAAATATTTATTTCTGAATACTTTAAAAGTACTTTTAKTAGAATGACATGTGATTTAACATTCATCTCTAATGAATTTTATTTTTATTTGATATTTTATTCTATGCCTACAAATGCTTATATAATACAGGAATAAATTCCCTATTCTCTTCCTGTTCCTGAGCATCTTGTTACACTGGCACAGTTTAGGACACACGTAGATGGTGGCTTGAAGTCGAGTCTGCAAGGCCAATCCCTGCCTCCTGTACCCTCACGTGGTCTTTCTGGAGGGAATCAATGTTCCCAGAATGGAACAGGTCACTTGGAATGAGTGCTAGGAGACACAGAGGGCCCAGGCCACTGGGTCACCAAGGGGAATTCACGAGGCACAGCTCTGAGAAACGCTGTTAAAATATTAAGATAACTATAAGAAACTGCAGAAAATTTGTCAAATCTAGACCCATGAAACAGAATTCCATTCAAATCAGCCCCCACTTTTGATCTGCTCCTGTTGATACCACAAGGCTAAGGAAGAGCCACCCTGAACATTCACATTGCTCCTGTCCAGCCCAGGATGCCTGACCTCCAGGAGCCAGTGCCTTCGGAGACAGCAGTCACACGCACACTCAGCAGGGCTCAGCTTCCATGAGCAGCCCTCCAGGGCAGCCCCAGAGAAGGCACCCAGCCTCAGGGACCAGCCGGGCAATCTGCAGAGGTCAGCGGGTGCTTGGACTCCTGCTCATTGATGAAGTGCTCAGGACTCATTCTTCTTGTTTTCAATWTCTACTTCCATCCCCTTAACCAACACCAGCATCACTGGCCTCCTGAATTCATAGGAAACAATTTTAAAAAAAAATGAAAGGCCCTGCTATCGACTGGCAGGTCAGGGCAGTCAGAAACGTGAGCCAGTCCGCGGAGCGCTGCGGGCACAGAATGAAACAGCTGAGCATTTTCAAGATTCCATGAACTGTGTTTCTCTTTCCTGATGGCTGAGACTGTGGCAGTGGGAGATCCACGGTGCATTCTAAAACAAGGCGGTGCGTTCATCTCAGCAGGTTCAACAGGCTCCTCCCGCCGGCTCCGCAGGTCCCAGTCAGTGGGCTCCTGTCTCACCTGCACCCCAGGATCACCCAGGCTCCCCCAGCCCATCAGGGGTCAGGGTCTACCTGTGCAGTGTCCCCCAAACCAGCCACCAGGCCACACTTGGAAGAATGTGACTGGGAAGAGGAAGGAGAGAGCTGCCAGCCTAGCGGGACCAACTGGGGAGCCGATGGGGAAGAGGAGAGGAGCAGGTGCATGCTGACCAGGGCAGCCTGGAAGGGGCCCTCTGACTGGGCCACCAGAGACAGGCTCATGAGGCTTTTGTGGCCACCGTGATGRCAAGGAGCAGAATTCACCCCATTCCCCCAAGAAACCCATCTTTACCCAGACTATGTACGCACCGGGACAGGAATCTTTGTGGAGAGCAACTTCTTAAGAAAGAGAAACAATAACAATAAGAACTGAGACTGTTGGCTGACCTCTAGTAGCAAATGTGAGACGCATGATGAGTGCAGTATCMGAGGAGGCCTCAGTGATTTCCCAATTACTGTGCCTAATTTGGACTAAAGCAAAGATTTATGTGTAAAAGGAGACACCAAAGTGAATTTATTATCCATTCCTACTCAAAAATAATCACGTAGGAATGATTAGATTTTTCAAACTGTGCMATAAATACACCATAAATTATACTAGTACAAAACAGCTAAGTAATCTCATAAGCTAAGCAATTCCTTTTTTTATAGGTCACAGTAAACATGTCACTAAAAATCCTCAATTTTATTTCCTATAGGTATCAGAATTGCATTTGGCTGCTAGTCAAAGGGCACAGAGGCCTATGAGCAAATAAGAGCATGGGTTTCCCTTGCAGAGCTGGGAGCTGAGGGAAATCCCAGGACACAGGGGGCCAGCCAGGAGCCCAGCCGGCTCACTCCCCATCCTGTGGTCCCTGCTGTGCTGGACAGTGAGGGAGGGATGGATGCAGTCTCCTGCCACAGAGAACCCACTGGGCCCACAGTCCAGGTCCCCCACAGGCAGKTGAGCAGGTTTTAAATGCTTCTTCATTTATTTAATTTCTTGGATATTTATTTTGCTGGAATGCTCTTTTTTTAGCTATATTCTTTTGGGATTGTCTTAGGTTCACAGTAAAATTGAGCAGAGAGCAGAGCTCAATTCCCTGACCTGTCAGTGTCTTTGTAACATTGGATGAGCCGGGCACAGGGACACACCACGGTCACCCAGAGCCCACAGTTCCCATTAGGTGGCTCCTGGAGGTGGACATTCTGCAAGTTTGGACAGATGTACAATGACTTATATCAACCACGGCAGCATCATGCAGAGGAGCTCTGCAGCCCTCCAAAGCCCCTCTGCCCTGCCTACTCGTCCCTGCCGCCCCCAACCCTGGCTCCCGCTCATCTCTGACTCCACAGCTCCGCCTTTTCCCGAGTGTCCTGGGGTGAGTGGCCTTTTGGGATTGGCTTCTTTCATTTGCAATATGCACCTAAGTTTCCTCTGTGTCTTTYGTGGCTGGAGAGAGCATTTTTTTAGTGCCAAGTCCCGCAGTTGGACAGACTAGAGTGGACTTATCCATCGCCTATTGCCTTCACATCTTGGTTGCCTCCAAATTTTGGCAGTTATGAATAAAGCTGCTGTT